TTTGTATCTTATCCCTCAGAGGGTTAAAGTACCTCTGCGCTGATACTTTTGGTGGAGTCTTACAACTTGGATTCTATGACCATTAGCTGGTTGTCGTATTTGATTTTGGTCATTTGTTTAAATGACAAAGTATGGTTTTGTTGTGTAAGGACTTTGATTTGTTGGGATAAGTGGAACTTTCTGTCAACTGCTCACTTGGGACAGTTTTTGTTTATGGTTTCAAAGAGTGGATTGCAGTCAAAGGTACAGATCAAAAGATACAAAGTAACAATAACAAAGGTTAACAACAATTTTCTATGGGTTTTAAAGGAGATTTTCTAAATGTTTTTTGAGTCAAGGAAACAGAGATTTGTAAGGACAGTGCATAGTTGGCATAAGTTGAAACACAGATTAAGATCAAGAGAAAGTATACACATAATTGGTAAAGACAGGATGAAGTTAGATTGGGTTAAAAAAGATCTTTGTGGGCCTACTCTCTTCGGGCAAAACCACTGGATTTGACTGATGAGTTTTGAGATGGTTGGGTAGAAGAAGTTTGACTTGGTCCAGCAGTGGGTTCCTGAGTTTGACGTTTGTACGGATTCTTTACGGATCTGACAAGGTCATCCCGAATCTTGATGTAAGGGCATAAGGTACGATGAGCTGCATTGTAAGATGATGTACTACAAGTGTTGCAGATTGATAGGGATTGGACACGAGTGATCATATCGGGTTCTTCAAGTGCTACTCCTTTGATGTCCCAAGGAGTCATGGGCATAGAGTTGAATTCTTGAGATAAAGCATTGAACCATTTGAATGCAGCTTGGCGTTTGAAGACGATTTCGAATACTCTACCTCCGTAGAAAGAATAAGTGGGTGATTCAAGAGGTTCACGGATTTGGGTGATCTTGAGGTGGTCATTTGAAGGGTGCGCACTAAAGCTGTGAACTAGTCTTTGACAGAAATCTCTTGATCCTAAGTGAAGTGGTAAACCAGTGATTGTAACAAGGAGGCTGGACATTAAAGGAGCCAATGGGCTGACAGGTTCCAAGTTGAAGATGATGAGGTTAGTCTTGATGGTCCCAGAGGTATGAGTATAAACACCTCTATCCAATCTAGTATTGTTAGTGAAAATCTTCTTGGTGCCAAGTGATCTGAATCTGATAAGTGTGAATTTGTTTTCACCGGGGCCTACCACCGGTAAAAAGTGGGTGACAAGAGTTTCCAAAGTTGATTTGATTACCTCCAAGTTGCAAAGTTTTCTAGAATCATCCATAAGTGTGACCATAGCCCATTGAGATTTGTCTTCAGGAGTTGCGTGAACTTTGTGATAAACGTTCCACCAGAGTTGAAGATCATAAGGGAGATAGGCAGTTGGTGCTAGGGAAGGTCCTGACAGGTCCAATAGTGGGTTAACAGTGAATGGTTCAAGAGTAAGAGGTTTAGCATAAGCACTTAGTTGAATTGCAGTGTTTTCGTCCGTCATGATGTGTCCTCCAGTTATAAAGGTGTCAGTGTCGATTTGCTCAGGTCCGAGTTTCATTTTGAGTAAGTCTGCGTCAGGAATTTCCTTATCCGAGTCTTCATCAGATTCTTCAATGGACTTTCCTTTTTCAGTTGTTGGGAGAATGACAGGTTCTTTCACTGAGGGAATGAAAGAAGTTTGTTGAATCTGAGTGGTTTCTTGTTGACTGGTAGACGAAATGGGTTCTTCAGGTTCAGTGCGAGTTTCTTGATTCTCAGAGTTAAGGATAGAGTCTGATATGGTGACTTTCTTCTTACTGGCCGGTGGAGAGGCTTCAATCATATCTTCATCCGTACTGGAATTAACTTTTTGAGCGTTAGATCCTGGTAGCATTGATGTGGTTAAGTCCAAGGGTGAGAATTTGAGTAACTTCTTTTGGCCTTTGGAAAGTCTTCTTCCTTGAAGAGGTGTCTCCAACTCCTTTACCTTTTTGCTAGCACTGGACTTGGTCTTTTTGTTTGATCCATCATTGTTAACGGGTGTGTTTGGTGACATGTTGTTTAGTTGTTCTTTGAAAAGTTGAAATAGACAAGATACTTTATCTACAAGTCGAAGACAAGGTTGAAAACAAATTTAATCCGTTGAAGGCTTGTAGAGAGAAAGATTTGAAGGTTCGATGAAAAACAAGTGAGAACAAGTCTGATTCGAGTTTTGAGAAGGGTTTGATGAGAAAACAATTTGAGGACAAGTTTCAGTTGAATCAAGATAGAGAATGGAATCCAAGAGAGTATCACTGGGGTTAAATGTGTAAGTTGATTCTAAAGATTTATCAAAAGAGAAAAAGTGTTAGTTATTGACTAACTCGAGTAGAATCTTCAAAAAAATCCTAAGCTTTTGAGGTAACTGACTTACTTGTTGTATGTTTTGGATGTGATTGGTTTATGTGTTGAGTAGATCTTCTGATCTGATGTGGTTCCCTATTTAAAGAAACAAATGAAAAGGTATTAGATCATGTGATTTTGACTCAAGTGAGATTATTGATAAGGAAGGGTGAGGAAAGGCTTACCTTTGTTGTTAAAGCGCTTTTTTGAATTTGATTGTTGTTTTCCAGTTGTACCTGAAAGAAAAGGTGTTAGTATCACTGAAGTAGAATGTGCAAATTGGTTTTGTGTTGTGTTTAGATGTGATTGAGCTGTATGTTGTACGGTTGTTTGATTTGATTTGGTTATCTACTTGAAGAAACAAATGAATAAAGTATTAGATCGTGTATTTCTGACTCGAGTGGAATTATTGATGAGGAGGAGTGAGGAAGGCTTACCTTAGTCTCTTAAAGCACTTTTGGAAGGTGTTGCTGTTCTTAAGCTGTATCTGGAAGATAGAGACTGAGTATCACTGAAGTTAAATGTGCGAGTTGGTTCTAGAGATGATCAAAGGAGAAGAAGTGTTAGTTATTGATTAACTTGAGTAGACTTTTTGAAGAGTTATGAGTTTTGAAGAAGATGACTCACTTGTTTTGTACTTAGACGTGATTGATTTATATGTTGTAAGGTCTTTGATTTGATTTGGTTATCTATTCAAAGAAACAAATGATTAAAGTGTTAGATAATGTACTTTGAACTTGATTGAAATCATTAATGAGGAGTGATAGAAGGCCTACCTTGGTTCTCAAAGCGCTTTTCGAAGTTGTTTGCTGTTTTCAAGGTGTACCTGGAAGCAAAAAGAGTTTCAGTATTAGCTAATACTTTCTAGTATTCAATTGATGATATGAACCAGTACAACATGTTTGTTTATACTTACTTGGGTTAAAAAAGAAATGACTCGAGTCCAGAGACAGTAACCGGACTATTCGTCTTGAGTGTGGGGGTCTTCCTAAAGTTAAAGATAAAGAAGAAGGTCAGTTTCTTATATTTGATTCGAGTGGATCTTTTAATTAATAGATAGAGAGTGTTAAAGGTCAGTCTGTGCTTACTTTTGTTGAATAACTGGTGTATCTATGATTGAAAGCAGGTATCTATATAGAAGTGGATTGATTAGATTAAGAAGATAAATATAAGATTAATTCGATGAGAGAAAAAAGACATACCTAGCGTTTGTGTGATGATTGTGGTATTGATTGGTGTACGTATAAGGTGCGGTAGAGTTGATTGGAAGATGCAAAAAGGGGATTGATGATCAATTTACGTTGACAGAAGAAAATAGATGATAAGATGGGGTGAGGAACTTACTTGGTAGCTAGAGTTGGTGACTTTTAAAGGTTTGTAGAAGGCTGATATAGTTCTGGAGGTTTCTTCGAGCTGAGTTGGCAAGGCAGAGGCTTTTTGGTCCGAGTTCAGACTGATTAGATGGCTTACAGAAGCTGTTCAAGTCTGATTGATTCATAACTGGACCAGTCATTGTCAAGCCCGAGTTTAAAGAAGGAAGAAGCTGGTTAGTATGTATTCAGATTGATTAAGATGAGATTATTAGTAGATTACTTATCAAATCAAGTCACCAAGCGTGTTATGATAGTATCAGTTGGTTAAAACTGAAATTTGAAGTGGCCATTCGAGTTCAAACCAGCGTAAAGGATCTAATTGAAAGGAAGGAACATAAATTAGTTCTTATTCTGATTAGGACTGAGATTTATAGCTGAAAGAACCTAGTCATTGATCAAGATAGATTGAAATGGTAGACTTAGGATGAGAGTGGGTGGATTAAGAGTGTAATGTCGTGGTATTCGTTATGGATGATTAGCCTAGTTCAAATTGAGTTGGGTTAGTTTAAATGGTCTGATTAGATAGATTAAGTGGGTGTAAGGACTTACTTCGAGTATTGAGGGTCCAATAGTATTCAAACTGCCTGTTTCAATAGCATAAGGGTGGTTCAGAATGAAATCCAGTCAGTATGAGTTGTTTGAAGGCTTGAATTCAAATCAGAGGCTAAATCAAAAGGTATAGACACCATTAGTTCCTATGCCAATTGGGACTGAGATGTACATTTGAATTAACCTAGTCATAGATCAAGAGAGGTTGAAAGAGATGGTCAGCCTAGTTCAACTCGATTTAGATCAGTTTAGATGGTTTGAGTAAATAGATTAGATGATTGGAAGGACCTACTTCGAGTCTTGAGGGTATAATAGTGTTCAAACTAGTTGTTCTGATAGCATAAGGATGGTTCAGATGAAAATTAAGTTAGTATGAATTGATTAAAGGCTTGAATTCGAATCGGAGGCTATGTTAAAGGATGATGATGGGTGATTTCATGTGAGTTAGCTCCTTATAACGGACTATATAGGTAAAATTGAGCTGATAAGAGGATTTCTTGACGCTGATTTGATTGAATAGATGGTTCAAATGAGCATGAATCAGTGATTTGATGTTAAAACTTGAGGTTATAGGTCATTTTAAGCCTTGAGAGGTAAGTAATTTCATTGCTATGATGATCTCTTGTGTTGATTTGATGCTGATGATGTTCATTCGTGGTTTGTTTGATGTATTAAAGGGCTGATAGGGTGATGGAGTCGTCGAATTGAGAGGTATAGGGGAGTCTGAGGCGTGTAGGAGGCCAGTTGCTGGCCATGAACTGGCTAGCTGGTCTGTTGGTACCGGTACAGTCCTTCCGGGACCGGTTGTTAGGTTTCAATTTGTGATATACACATGTTATAACCTAATGAATGGCTGTACCGGTACACATCAGTGATTTGTACCGGTACCAATGGATGGCGCACGTGTAAACAGCCCCGAGTACTGCCCGCTTTGGCCCTGTACCTGGGTTCAAACCCCTTCGAGCAAGGTTTACACGTGACAGGCCTATGTAACAGGGCTTTGTTGGGGCTTTGTGGCGTGGCCCTGGCCCTGAACCTGGGTTCAAGTCACCAGTGTAGGGTAAGTTACATGTACCAAAAGTGGACATCCTTGTAAGATGGACTTATTAGGGGTTTCTGACATGGTTATGATTTTGAACAGTGGTTAAGTCATATGCCTTTGGCCTTATACATATAATAAGTGCAAGGAGTTACATGTACCAGTACTTCGTGGAGATATTTTGGCATGTTATGAACTCAGACCTTGGTCCAGGGTATATTTATGGGATATTACATGCATGTTAGGTGACAAATATCATATGTATAAGGTCTGTTTGGGGATTTTTGGTACGGTTATGACCTGTTCATTAGTACAGGTTAAACATATGGGGTATTACATGTATGGTAAGTGTGTAAAACCACAAGTATAAGTCCTTTGTGGGGATTTTTTGTGTGGTAAGGATCCTGAACTATGGTTCAAGTCATACCTGTGGGGTATTACATGTATGGTGAGTAAAAGAATACCAATTGAAGATCCTTTTTTGGGAGTTCTGGTGTGGCTATGGTTGTGTACCCCGATAGAAGCCCCACATATGGGGTATTAGATGTGTGGTTTTTGTGAGAAACCATATGTATAAAGTCTTTTGCGGGTGATTCTGGTATGGTTGTGGCCGTATCTCTGGCTTGAGGTAGGTAATATTTGGGATGTTATATGTTGTAAGTCAGGATTTACTTGTGCAACGGAGCACTTTCTGAGTGTTTGAGATGTGACTGTGGTCATTCCTCTAGGTCTGAGTCATTAGAGTCTGGCATTTTCCATTTCATGAGTGTGAATATATCTGTGTAACAGGGCATTGGGCGGCCAGTTGGCAAGGTCTTGGGCCTGAATCAGGGCACGAGTCTCTAATGTTAGGCAGGATGTACGTCATAAGTGTAGGTATACACGTAGTTGGCCCTGTCAACTAATAGGAGTGGGGTAGATTTGTGTAATGGGACATCTGTGGGTACTTTGGTGCGAGTTTGGTCTTGGACCTGTGTGTAAGTCACCATTGCGTGGCCTGTTGAATAGTGGAAATGTACGTATCCTTGTGTGATAAGTCCTGGTAGGACTGTTTGCTGTGTCCTCAGCCCTGAACCTGTGTTGAAGTTACCAGTCATTGTCATGTCACGTGTTATAAGTGTAGGTACCCCCGTGTATTGGGGCGTCTTTGGGTGTTTTGGTGTAGTCAATCCTTGAACCTGGGTTCACGTTACCAGCATATGGTAGATTGTGCTTTGCAAGCACAATTATATGTGTTTTGTGGGCCATTGTAGGCATTTTCTTGGTGGCGTAGGTTGTTTAACTTGGTTTTAAGTCCCCATTAAATGGTGGGTTACACGTCATAAGGATGAGTATCCCTGTGTGTTAGGGGTATCGGCGTTATTTGGCATCGCTATACTGATATACCCGAGTTTGATTCTGGAGTGTTGGGTATTATGTATGTGAGAAGATTAGGCACCTGTGTACGGTTAGTGTTGATATTATTACAAAAGGAGGAATGTGGGAGGTGGTTAAGGGGTTAAGACAAAGCTGGTCATGCCTAACCTATGCGTATTACAGTATTGGGTATCAAATTTTATCAAGACAGAAGTGTATGTCTCCAGTGCATTGGTTACTTGGTTCAGGGGTACAAAATAATTCCTGTTACATCCTGTGTGCGTGGTTAGCTTAGATGTATTTTGCAGTATTATTTGGGAGAAAGGACAGAGGGGCATAGGGCATAGGCACGAAAAAAGGGAAAATAGCATAAGTTTTAAGGTCAACGGTGTTTTGTAGCAACACCCGTTGACGTGTGCATGATCTGATAGTCACTACAGACGGGCTTTATCATCAATATCTTGATATTGAGTGTAGGTTTAGAGTCAGATTCAATATCTATGTGGCAACTAACAATCAATTGAAGCAGTTTAGTGTAGGAAGTATGTGGTGAGTGTATGGTTTGAGGAAACACTTTTGGGTAACAAGGTCCTTTTCAAGAGCGTTTGATGTAGGGTCTTTCTCATAGATGAATAATGGCTGGATACGGACAGAATGTTTACCCTAGTTCTCTTTGAGTTATCTGAGTAGTCAGACATTTGTGTTAGTTAATATTTACTACATTTGGTGCTATCTCTTCTTTCAGCCCTTGTGTTGAATATCCAAAACAGCCTTGTTATCAAATTTTTAGGCATCAACATCACATACGGGATGGATGGTTGGTGTATACCGACAGTTCATTGGATCGACAGAGTGGTTAATTTGGTGGGATGCTTGACTAATCAGATCCTATATACTGTTGGTTATTGTACTAAGTGTGGCGCTATCTCCTTTTTCACCCCTCAGGTTAGTTATCATAAATAGACTTCTACCAGCACGTTGAATATCATTGTTTTTTTTTTTTTTTTTTTTGAAGGGAGTATTAGTGGAAAGTATGATTCTTAGGGTAGCCATAGAATCTGTTGGTTCGGTTAAATGGGTTTTTGGGTTATTTGATGATCCGCGCAGCGGATCACCATTCTGATGGTTCATATAGCTATTCCATCACATAGTGTAGTACTATAATGAACTGGGTGCTATCTCCTTCTTCAACACTAGGTTGGTTATCTTAAATAGGCTTCTTATCAATTCATTCAAGTGCCAAGGTCATTCTGAGATGGCCCTTTCAAAGTATGAGTGTCCGCATGGTTGGGCAGACTTGTGGATGATTAAGGCAGGGATCTGCTTTAACTTATTGTGTTCTGGGACAGTCTGCGTAACCGGTCCATCCCGTAGGGGACTACCGTATTTAGCTTTGGTGCTATCTCCCTCTTCAGCCCTAGGTGCTGGTTATCCTCAATAGATTTTCACCATACTGTTCAGATATCAAGGATTTATATATTCCTTTATGTGTGATTGATCGTCATTATTGCTGGATGGTCCTAGTCGAATATCTCATGTAGGGTAGTAATATGTTTGGTTTGGTGCCATCTCCTTCTTCAGCACTAGGCGGCTGGTTATCATAAACAGCTTTAACCTGACCTTTCAAGTAGAAGATTCATTTACAAAAATGATTTTTACAAAAGCTGAGTGTCCGCATAGATGGGCGGACCTTTGGACGATGAAAGCATGTATTTGAGTTAACCGTGTAAGTGTGCTTTGTAGAAAAGTCCAAATAATCAGACAATGATGTAGGTTTATATTGTACTAGGCTTGGTGCTATCTCCTTCTTCAACACTCAGGTTGGTTATCATAAATAGGCTTTTACCCGCATTTCCAATATCACAGTCATCCATGGGTGATAAAGAAGCTGATTGCCAGGGTAGTCGGGCAATTCTTTGGTTTAGAAGTGGTTTACCACAATCACGTGGAGCAATCAAAGGATGAGGTAAGTTACTGTTGTTTAAAGGTCCCAATAATCAGACCATCATGTAGGTTGATATTGTACTAGGCTTGGTGCTATCTCCTTCTTAAACACTTGGGTTGGTTATCATAAATAGGCTTTTACCAACATTTCCAATATCACAGTCATCCAGGAGAAGAACTAATGAAGAGGCTGATTGCCAGGGCAGTCAGACAATTTGTTGGGTCTGGCCCGCGTAGCGGGTCTATTCATGTAGGGCGATACTCTACTTGGTTTGGCGCTATCTCCTTCTTCAGCACTAGGCGGCTGGTTATCATAAATAGGCTTTTACCAGACCGGTCAAATACCAAAGTCATTTACAAAAACAACTCTTTTTTAGAGGATTAAAGCGGGTTGTTGCTTTAACTGATTTGGAATTTGATCATCCGTATTGTTGAATGATTCATGTGGGTTATCTTATTTAGGGCAATAACTTACTTGGTTTGGTGCTATCTCCTTCTTCAGCATTAGGGGCTGGTCATCATCAATAGACTTGAACCTAACTTTTCAGATATTAAGGATTTGTAAATTCCTTTAATAGAGTTTGATCAACCGTATTGTTTGGAGGATCTAAGTGGGGTATCTTATTCAATCAGGCGCTATCTCCTTCTTCAGTCTTATGACTGGTTATCATAAATAGGCTTTTACCTGACTTTTCGGACAAAATAGGGTAACTTCACTTGTGGTTGTGCAAATGATAGTAGAGTGCATTGCTGGTGTTGCAATATTAGTGGGTACAACGTTGGTATTGTCTTATAGCGCGCTGCAGCAGTTTAGCACTCCTAAGAGCCCGAGGGAGGACCACGTCGAGGTACTGCTACAGCTTGTGACAAAAACTCAATTTTTACACATTATCAGGCCATGGACGCTGCATCTGATGACAGTATCACTTATTCAAACCAAAGACAGGGACACAGATCGCGGAATCACCCAAATCAGTGTTTGCCACTCAGATCCAAATGGCGAAAGAACCAACCCTACCTCACCGACTCCTCTGGCGTCTACCAAGATATATATCTTAATATACGCTATTGGAGCTGGAATTACCGCGGCTGCTGGCACCAGACTTGCCCTCCAATTGATCCTCGTTAAGAGATTTAAATTGTACTCATTCCAATTGTAAGACCCAAAAGAGCCCTACATTGTTATTTATTGTCACTACCTCCCCATGTCAGGATTGGGTAATTTGCGCGCCTGCTGCAATCCTTAGATTTGAGGGCCGTTTCTCAGGCCCTCTCTCCGGAATCGAACCCTTATTCCCCGTTACCCGTCATCACCATGGTAGGCCTCTATCCTACCATCGAAAGTTGATTTTTTTTTTTTTTTTTCGGAGACGCGCCTCAAATGATTCTTTCAAATCATAAGAATTTTCCTTGTGGGTAGAATATGCTTGAACAAGTGATCTCTTCTTAGAACCCTGGGGCATTCTAATATCACAGTGTTACTTCATACGTCCGAGGATGAGCTTTTAATTACGGAAACACTCATCCCACGGCTCTAAAGGGGAATGAACCCTTAGAGCTGCCTTTTTCAAAGGCTGACGACTCCAGACTTTTACTGGGTAAACTCCCTTTCCACAGCGCGTGGTGTTGCCATAGACTTTACAGTCCCTTGGCCAGTTGTACTAATCACATAGGACGGGGTAGAGGCGGGTTTAACACCCCGTACCCTCCATATGCGTTTGTTGCAAGTGGTGCAGCATAGAGATCATCAATTGCCTTCTGGTACCACCCAAAAGTTGATTTCAGAAATCTTGCCACGGGGACAAATCCATACAACGCCATATTTTCCGGCTGAATACCGGTTATGTTACCATAGCCATGTCGCCACAGATAAATGAACCTATTTCTAGGATTCATTTTCCGCAGAATATGATTCAGACTTCCCACGATAGGCCCAGTGGCAGCACAATTGCCGCCCAAAAGGTAAGTGGCTACTTTCTTGTCTTGGTTATTGATTTCGCCGGCTGTGCGTACTTTGTTGGTTTTTCGGAGTTCTGTAATAATAGGTGTAAGGTGCTCCTCTCTTTGTTCTTGGAGAGCTCTACAGTTGAGAAGAATGTGTGATATTTCATCTTCTTCAGTCTTAGTTGTCCGTCTTTGTTGTTTACAAAGTGGACATGCAGATTTGCCCAGGGCCTGCGCCGCGGCACTCAAGGAATTTGTATTTTCCCGAGCTTCATATGATAATTTAGCTGATGGTAGTATTCCCATTCTGGCTTTGAGTAGTGTCAGTACCCCATCACGTAGGTACGGGTATCTGAGAGCTGCCTTGTGAAAGTTACGGGTCAGTCCATATTCATGTTTTTCGTAGTCCATTTGTGATAGTGGGCCTTGCAGTTTATTTTGGGTCATTTCCTTAGCCCATTGGTATGCTTTTACAGCAATCATTTCATTTTGAATGGTTCCTGCGGAATCGTCATTGCCGCGGATATCTATCCAATCTTTGGGTATTTTCTTTGGATATTCTTTGGCTTGGGCCTTTAGGCCTTCCACCACCATGTGTGGTATGGTCAATTCTTTGGGTTCATCTTCAGGGGTATTTGAAGCTGTTGATTTCTTCTTACTTGTAATGTTATTATTTGTGTCTTTCCAGACTGCGGCAATAGCTTTGCCAGTTTCAGCTTGTGTTATTGAAGCCCATGTCTTTTTCTTACCGCCTTGTGTACGGCTATTAAGTATTTCTGATGCATCTGTGTCCATGGATGCTGATTTAGAGTGTATGCGGTATCTAGCTGCAGCGCAAGCTGCTGCAACTGAGGGGACACCAAGTTCCCATGAGAGGCGGACTGGACATATGGTCTTACAACCCCGCCCTGCGCCAATGGCTAGATAAAGTGCTTTGTCGATCTCCTTCTGTATGAGGGATGTTCGTGTTTGGTTCATTCCAAACCATTCTCCGCCGTATAGTGCTGCGGATAAGACATATGTTTTTATTAGAAATGCTTTCTCTGTAAGAGTGCGTTTTTTGTCTTGTAGTAGGCATGCTTGTTGTGCAACCTTTTGTTTTACTTTCTGCGCCAGTATGCTAGCATATTTAAGTTCTGCATCATAGCCAATGCCGAGAGTGTCATCTAGTTCAATTCCAAGATATTTATAAGAGGACTGCGCATATACCCTGCCGTCTGTGAGATTAAAGTGGTTTTTGTTCTCACTGGGATGTGTTGTAGGGTCCCCATATGTGTTTAGGAAAGCTGTGCGCTTTTCAGGTTCTTTCTCCCCATACATGACCACAGCACATTTTGCGTGTCCAATTTGCAGGGTTTTCCATTTTTCAACCCATTCTGAAATGATTTGACAACCTTTATTGAGATCTTCAATGTTGTCAAAGAAAGCTGCGGCGTCATCCGCATATAGTTTGCCCTTGTCATAGAAGTGGCCCTTTTTGATACCAGGAATTGTAATACCTTTCAAGTGGTGGAATAGGTCATTCACAAAGATGATGAATAGTAGAGGGGATAGTGGACAGCCCTCTTTAGTACCAATGTTCATTTGGTATGGTTCAGAAAGTTCATTTCCAACTTTCATGCGGAACTTACTGTTTTGGTATGTGTTATCTATAAAGTCAATGAGAATCTCAGGTACTCCAAGGTGAAGGAGTTTCTTGTAAAGTGCTTCATGGGGAACACTTGGAAATGCTTTTTTGAAGTCAATGTATAAGACATATGTAGGTTTATTGTCATTTGCACGTCGACGGACGGCTTCTGTGAGGCAAAGAAATTGTGCAATTCCTTCTTCTTTTCTTCTAAACCCACCTTGGTCTGGGGTAAAAAATTCTTGTTCATTGAGCTCTTTGCTCATGCGCTCTTCTATGATAGTCATGATTAATTTCATGAAAGATGTGGAAAGTGTAATTCCACGTCTGTTGGTCAAGTCTGTGGGGTCTTTCCCAGGCTTATTCAATGATATGACAATATTTTCCAAGTCAATGGTTGGGATTGTTCCAACCAACATCTCATTGAGTATTTCTAAGAGTTGTCGTCCTGCTGGGGTTTTCAGTTCTTGGGTCATGTCCTTAATGGGGACCGGTTGGTATACATGATCCAAAGGATCGTAATATTGTCCTGATTCTGTATGAATAATAGGGCGGAGTGGATCTGGTCGAGTTTTGACAGGTTTCTGAATGTTATCTTCATGCCATTCCCAGGCATTGCTGATATTGTTTTCAATAATTTTGACAAGTGATTCATCCTTTTGGTTATCAGGATTTTCATATTGTAGGACAGCCAGTTTTGGCCTCTTACATTTTTTCTTCTTATCTTTCTTTGGGGGTTTTGCACCAAAGAATTGTGCTCTTTCAAGTCTTAGTATTTCCTTGAAGATCATGGGTGGGATATTGTCATGTCCCCGTGCTGCATTTTTATTTATTCTACTACATGCTCTGAGAAGTTCTTGTGGCGTGATCATATTGCCTATGTCAGTTTCCTCAATGGATTCATCATCACAGGTCAGGCTGTGCCAAAATCCTGGGTCTTGTGAGACACCAGTGGAGTCCTGAGCTAGTTTGCTAAAGTGCTCAAATTCAGCTTTTGCTATATCTTTATTAGTGATACATAGTTTCCCGTCTTTGTTTTTACAGGGCATTGGATGGCTTTGTCTTTTGCCAAGATGGTCTGGTAGAGATGCTTTGATTGCTGTGTGGAAATCTAGCATCTCGTTCTCAACAAGGTATTTGTTTGTTTGAGCAGTTCTCCGGGTTTCCCTTGCCGTCTCAAATTTTTTAATAGCTTTTTGTGCCAGTCTGGCTGCTTTATCGGCATAATTACCTCTTTTGGTTAATTCATTTAGGTCAGATCCTTTGTTGATGGCTTTTTGGTAGTCAGTGCGGGTTTTCCTGGCTTTCTTAATGAGGTTTGCCACGGTACGTGGGAAGTGTGTATTTCTAGGGGGGTTGACGTATTTGATGGCCCCCCATTTGGTTGCAGCTTCAGCTAGGTTGGAGCGCCAAGCTTCTCTTTTGTTATCTATCCCTTCATCTGTAGGGAATGATGTCCATGCGCCATCTGTTAAGATATCTGTTGCGTGGCCTTTCAAGGCTTTGAGGTCCCATTTCATTTGGAGAGGGATAGGTTTGATATATTGTTTTCTAATCTTCATACTTATGGCGGCATGGTCACTTGCGCCTTTATATTGAACAGACATATGCCGGTTGACTTTAGATTTACACGTAAGGGTTTGTAGTGCAGGAGAAATCACCCAGTGGTCAATGTCACTTGGACGTCCTTTCTTTGGCAGTCGGGTGAGGTTTGATCCGCTGCATTCTTTGATACACATACGTCCTCCAGTATTCTGAAGGGCAGCCTGAGCTAAGCTTTTGGTGGTCATGTTGAAATCACCGCCAATGGCAATTTTGCAGTTGGGATCATCATCCAACAGTTTGTTGATTCTTTCCCAGATTGGTTTGATCTGAGTTCTTCTTTGTTTTCTGTTATTGGAGCCAGATTGTAGGTAGACTCCAAAGATGTGCCAAATAGTATCTGGCTCAAGGTGTGTGACAACCAGATGTTGTATTCTGGGGTCATTCATAGGTTTTTCATATGCACCAATATCGTCTCTGACCATCATACATAGTCCATAAAAATGCGGTTCTGCTGGGTGTGAGAATGTTCTATAGCCTTTGATTTTAGGTTCATAACGCATGTTTGTGCGGCGGTGTTCACCCATCACAATGATTCCCGCAGTTACTTGTTCTGCAAGGGATTCTAGGATTGAAGCTTTTTTGTTGAAGCCTTGCGCATTCCATGCAAGCAGGGATGTGTATCCTGCCGGCTTTGTAGTTTCTGTAGGGGTTACCTTGACAGGTCCTTTAAAGGTTGGGAGTTCATCCCGATATGCCTTGTATAAATTGGCCCGCCATTTGCTGATATTGAAGCAGTGGATTTTACTTTGACCCTTTTTCCAGGGCTTCTTTGTTGTGCGGCAGTATATGACGGGTGATTTGTGAAGTCTTTCTTCACTTGTAAGTTGTATCATCTTTGTGAAACCTATAGCAATGTTGGGTGTAACACATATATCAAATGCTGGTTGTTGAAACGGGTTGTTCCTTTTTTCTACACTAATAACTTCTTCACATTGTGCCTTTGTGAGCCTATGTCTTAAGACTGTCCATACGTCAACTTGTGTGCAGTTGCCTGTGTTGTTGAGTGTTATTCTTACAGAATTGCGGATATTGTTCTTTATCAGCGCTTGTCTCAATCCTTTTGTGCCTGAGGTAATAGGGACAATGGGTTTATCTTTTTTATGTATTGCAGTCTTGAGTATATCTGCGTAAGTTTGTGAGCTTTTATGAGGCTCTGATGTATCTTTGGGAAGGGGTTGTGTGCCTGTATATTCCATCAACTGTTCTTCTTCATTTGTGTCTGAGAAATGTTGTAAGATTTTGTGATTTTTTCCGTTTGAAATACTTGTGGGGATGGGCTGAGCTGGCATAGTTGCAGTAATTGTTATTTTACCTTTGAGTTTGGTAAACAACTCTTGATGTGTAAGCATTCTGTCATCATGTGGTCCTCGAGGTGGGAGTGCTGGTGTTGCTTCTGAGTTTTGGTTGGAGATATATCTATCTCGTGCCATTCTGGAAGATTCAGCCACAGGTATATGCTCTGATGTGGAATTTTGGTTGGAATCTTGATCTGTGTGCCGGATGATGTTTCCAATGTCACTTGTAATGTAGAGTCTTTTTGACTTACCCTGTTTGATAGTTCTGCACTCGTAGTGAGTGTCTATTCTTTTCTGTTTACGCTCTGAAATGTCTTTATCAGTTTGTCTCTTGTCACGCTTGTCACGTTGTTGTTTACCAGTCAGTTTTAGTTTTATTTTATTGGGTGGGCGGTATGTCCTACCACCTTTGATTATTACATCCTCTTTGTGTTGAGGTTGTGGCATCTTTACGGGATGCTCTGGTGGTGCATCTATGATGTCAGTATGTGCCATTTGGCATGTGGCAGAGGTTGATTCAACTTGTGTTGTTGATTTTAGGTTAATGTCATTCTGGGTCTCAGAATGTGTTTGAATTCCGCCAGTCACTTTAGTCAATCCCTCTCCCTGGGGAGCCAAAGAAGGATCAACCCCCAAAGTAACATTATTGACCAACCTCTCATCCTTCAGAGAGCAATGAGCGTCAGTTTCCGCAGTAGCATTAGTCCCAGAACCGCCCTGTGACGGTGCAGCAAGCTCTGGCGGAGGCAATTCATTATACAAGTTCAGTCCCTCCACAACTGACAGGGAGCCGGGGCTCATTTCACCCAATCCCGGACAACTTAAGTGTACGGGTGTATCCTTCATAGTTGCATTTGAGTCTCAAGAGTACCAAGCCCTCTCAAGTGGCTCTGAAATGCTACATATATGCATTTCATTAGAGGATTGGAGTACCCCTGGTCTGAGAGTTTTGGTAGATTCTCAACTTTCCAAGTTTCTTGGGTGCTTTAAGTATGGGTGTTTTGCAGATATGTTATGGGGTTATTTCCTATTCATAATCTTAATGTAGTAGGACATACGGTGGTTTGTGCAGTATTCCACATATTGGTTTTATGTATATACATGTATATGTGTTTGTTGTTGTTTGTAAGTTATGTGTGGTTTCAAATTGTGGTATATGGAATGATGTGATAGAGGTCGGTGTGATACCTTTATTTGGTCTTGCATGTATGCTCAGGAGAGTCATCCCCTTAATATGTGGGCAGTCTATGCCTTTCTCTTTTGATGCCTTACCCATCAATATTATTTAATGCAGTCATGTAATGTTGTAGAAGATATACTTTGAGATGTTATGACAGGTGTTAACACATAACTGGTGTGTTATAGGTTTCCTGGGTAAGTTGTCATTGGCGACAGATTTTTAACACTGGGTTATGAGTGTTAAAAGACATATTATGGACGCAATACCAGCCCAACTAAAAAAACTGACCCCAAGACCCCGTATCTACCACTGACTTGTAGCGCAGAGGCCCACAGTCTCAGGTGAATCGGCATCTTGAAAGACATTGTGCACGGTGGGGCTCATACCCACAACCTAACCTGGTCATCCAACTCACCAGGCGGCCGCTCTGACCACTGAGCTAAGTGCATGTGTCTTGATTTAGTAGGCCATATGATAGTATCTACCACATGTCACATATTGGTTTGATGTATATATATGTATATGATTTTGTCCCTGTTTGCAAGTTCTTTGTGGTTTAAATTTTTTGGTATATGGAATGATGTGATGGAGGTAGGTGTGATACTATTGTTTTTTCCTATATGTATACTCAGGAGAGTCATTGGGACCTCTCTAATATGCGGGCAGTCTATGTCTTTCAGCTATGATGCTATACATAGCAGCTTTCTTTAATGTGGTTATATAATGTGGGGGAGACAGACTCTGGGATTTTGTGAAAGTTTGTAACACATGAATGGTGTATTATGGGTTTGTTGGGTATATTCTCACCAGCAAAACATTTATAAAACTGGTTTTTTAGTGTGATATCTAATTTGTATAAGATTCACATACAACCTACGCATTTCATATTTAAATCATGATTTTTATTCACTTTTTTGGTTTCTGAAATGTTCCATTTCTTTTCCAATAAAATTTGTTGAATATGTTGTTCAATGCTGTAAGGAGAGTATCATGGGTGGCCTTTGATAATATATATATATATTTTTATTTCTTTTCACATATCTTTTAGGGGATTTTTCAAAGGACGAACTTGTTTCCTCAAGTCTTTTGGTTTTGATCTCAAACAGTTATACCTGATGTGTATTTTATTTATGTCAAGGTAATGTGCAAGGGTTCAAGTTTTCTGTGAAAGAGGTTTTCAAAGAGAGATTTTGTCAAGCAAGTTGTTTTTGTAGGCGCAAACTTGGTATAGAATTTTTGGATTTCAAGTTCAAACATACATATTGATCAAGGTACAGATTTTATATAAGCAAGGATAAGAACAACAATTTTTTTGTAATTTTAATAGGAAATTTTATGATTTTTTTGTAGTCAAAGAAAAATAAGCGCACATAGGAGGATAACTAGTATTTTTAGTGATTTAATCAGTTTATAAAGAACAAATAGAAGCTCAAGAGTTGGGATATTAAAGTTGAGAGGGTACAGATTAATCAAGTTAAGATGAGAATGAGTTCAATTTGAGGTTGATGAGCACACTTTCCAGTTGGTGATCAATTTTGATAATGCTTGACAGGGTTCGCATATTTTTTCTAAGAACAAGTGCCCAACATTCAGAGGTCAGTTTTGAAAACGAGGATAAGTTAGGAGAATGAAGGAGGTGGTGATCACTTACATTCATAAGGTGAGGGTCACAAGGTGCTCAATCATGACGAGTAAACTTACCAGTTTTGGTCACCTTTGGTGGAAAAGAGACTACCGGAGTGGTATCATCAGTTAAGTCTGTTGGAGCACGATTGTTGAAAGAGTTTTCAATAGATCTGAAGAGGTCATCTCGAATGGTGGCGAATGGACATTTGATGCGATGAGAAGCATCATAAGATGAAGTACCACAAGTTGAACAGGTGGGAATAAACTTCCACTGAGTAATGATTGTACGGTGCTTGTACTCGTCGCCTCTTCTGTTCCAAGGAGTCATAAATAAGAAATCTTGCTGGGAAAGTAGTTTGAACCATTGAGCTGCAGCACTACGTAAGAAGTGAATTTCAAAGATACGAGCACCAGCAAAAGTAAGAGTTGGTCGAGGATTGGGTTCATTAATGAATGTAATGGATAAGTGATCATTTGAGCGATGAGCAATCAAACTATGATAAAGTTCTTCGGTGATGTCACGATTATAAAGGTGATAAGGTAAACCAGAAATAGAAACTAGTAAACTGGACATGTGAGGAGTTAACTTGGAGACTGGTTCAAGATTAAAAATGAGAAGGCTGGTGCGGATAGAACCAGCTAAGTAAACAAAAACACCACGGTCGAGACGGTTATTACGACGAAAGTTGTCCTTGATGGAGTGAGATTTGAAGCGAACAAGAACAAATTTGGAGGAGCCAGGGCCTACAATCGGTTCAAAGTAGTTGATTGAACTGGATAGAGTGAGTTTGATGATTTCAAGGTCACTAAGTTTACGTGTATCATTCATGAGAGTTACCATTGCCCATAGGGACACATCAGAGTCCAAAGCATGACATTCAGAGTAAAGATTCCACCAAAGTTGCAATTCAAAAGGAAGATTCGAAGTAGGAGAAAGTCCAGGTCGACGTGGTTCAGCAAGAGGATTGACCGTAAAGAGTTTCAACTCAGAGGGTTTTGCTGATCAAAAGCAAAGAACAAACATCAAGGATCGATTGTTAGTGTCCGTTTCAGTTTACACTACAGATAGGTAAAAGGAAAGTAAGAACCATTGATGGTCAAAAGAAGGAAAACTCACGATAGGCTGAGATTTGCAAGTCAGAGGGGGGATTGATCACAATATGACCACCAGTAATTTCAGTACCAGAGTTATCAAGAACTGCAGGTGCTACCTCACTTTGAAGAATAATTTCGTCTTCTTCATCACTAGAATCGTTGTCCGAGGAGACAATGGTAGATTTAGATTTATTGGATTCAGCAGTAGTATGTTGAGAGTTAATAACAGAGGTTGATTCAACAGCTGAGGGAGTTGGCTTAGTCGATATAGTAGACAAAGGTTCAGCAGGGGCAGTAGAAGCTGCAGACGTGGTTAAATCGATCTGAAGGGGGGTCATCTCTTCATCGTCAGGCGTAGGAGGTTTAGGAGGAGCGTCAAGGGCCATGGAGACATCAGCAGAGGCTTTAGCAAGCTTCTTGAAGGTTTTAGAGACACGTCGATCAGCTAGAGGTGTATCTTGATCCTTATTCTTCTTACTGGCACTAGATTTGGTCTTCTTATTCGAGCCTTTGGTGGAAGATGGGGTGGTAGGAGCCATTGGGATTGATCTACAGATTGTTAAACATAGATAGATTGAGCAATGTATCAGTTTATGATTGTATTGTAGTACAAATAAAATAAGTACTTACTTTGGTTTTGTTAGATGTAAGTCAAAGAGATCTAATTGTTTGTGATAGAGAAAAGAGACCGAGTTGATTCTGATCCAATGAGAATAAATGAGTATGGTTAAAACACACCATCAGTTTATGAACACGAGTTTAATGAGAAGCAGATCAAGGTAATAACTTACTTTAAATGTAGGATAGAGTCAAGAGAATTGATCAATAGGATGAATTTGATAGTACTAGTTGAGTTTGGCCTAATCCAAGCCAGATTTGAAGATAGCAGAGGTTGTGTGAGTTAACTAACAGATAAAGAATTAAGGAATGGGCTCACAAAGAGTAAAGTTTATACGGTTGGGTTGTTTTCGTTTGAGATGAGATATGGAAGGTCTGATTCTGTGAAAATACAATCAAGTGAATGGTTCGAGTGATCAGAATAAGGGAACCATGTACTTATGGTGATTTTTAGAGTGTTCTAAGTGGGATTAAAGTAAGAAAGGATAGCTATACATTATGGGATTTGTTATAACTCGACTTGATGATCAGGATGAATAGTAGGAAAGAGAAAACTTGAGTCAGTTTCTAGGATGACAATTAATAAAGGATAGCTATACATTATGGGATTTGTTATAACTCGACAGGTCCTGATCTTTATAGGCATTTCGAGGGTGGCTAGAATGTGGTTGGCCATTCGATTCAAGTGAGTGGGTTAAGAACATAGCAGTGAAGGGCTTGAAATGAACTAAAGGTGGATCTTGTTGATTGGAAACGTGAGTAAACTGTTGGAGGTTGATAGACAGAGAGAGATTGAATCGGTAATGAGTCCAGAAAGCCCTAACAATTGAAATGAGCAGTGAGTTTGCTGATTAAATCGTAAAAAGAGTGGGTTGTAGGTGATCGAGTTGAGTTTTAGTGCATCTTGGTTTCTATAAGGCTGATATTGATAAGGCCTGATTGGGGTAGGAGTCTTCTTTTTAAATAAGTTAATTGCTGATTTTGGTATTGATGTGAAGTTTGGATTGATAATGGGTGAGTCAAAGGTATTTGACCAATCAAGAAGGGTATGACATTGTAATTCCACGAGGTGTTAGCTGGTAGTAAGAGTTTTGAAGTGTTGATAGGGGTAGAGGACGGATCCGGTGAGGCGTAGCTGGATCCAGATGTGGCTGAGGACATGGTAGAGGCTAGAATAGGGCTGAGCAAGTCCGCTCGGAGCTAAGAGTGTCCTGGTATGGTGTACAGGGCTATTGGTTATGTTCTAAGGTCTGTATCGCATTGGTTGATAGGTTTAGAGATGTGAGAGACCTGGGTAATAGGTTTGATAGCTGGGATTGTATTGGGACCGTGACCCTGGTTGGGACCGGGCCAGTTGCTGGTTTGTAGCCAATCATGAACTGATTTAGCCCTGGGGTCAGGACCGGGGCAGGAGGGTCCGGGGTTCAAATCCTCCCTCATGCAGATGTTAGTTGTAGTTCTGCAACTGACCAGTTCCTGGCCGTGAACTGATTAGCCCCGGGGTCAGAACCGGGGCAGGGGGGTCCGGGGTTCAAATCCTCCCTTATGCAGACGTGGGTTCCAGTCCTTGTCAAGGCAGACAGGGTTAAAGAGCGGACGTGGGTTCAAACCCTTCAGTGTGAGGTACTGGGTTCCAGTCTCCACGGTGGTAAGTATATTTGTGGTCAGGATGTGGTTTTTGATTTCATATACTGAGATATGTGGTTGGAGTTTTTGAATATACATGAGGATAAAAATGTAAGTTGTGGGTGGTATAAGGGTTTGCTGTGAGTATTGCATATGTATACTGGGTAATTTTTGTATGTACTATGTGTTACACATATGTGTTCCCATATTGCTGGGTGTAAGGAAGCAAGTACATGTAGTAATATATGTAGTAGCCACATCTGAGTCAACTACAATTGAGTACTATGGGAACTTTCATCAATCAAGAGAATGTGTACCTATATTATGAAATATTCTTTGTAGATATGGAAAAGGCTGGCTCAGGAAGGTAACTAGAAAGGTGTAATGATGTTATTTATAAGCATATGTTGGTAAGTTAAATCCAGGGTGTATGTAGTTTGTGACTAGTAGTATGTGTAAGTTTACCATAATTGTGTTGTGTGTTTCAAACATGGGGGTTTCAAATGATTGTAGGAGTATTGGGCGTATACAGGGGTAATCTGTAGAGTTTTGAGGAGGTACATGTATGTAATGCTAGTAAAAAACACCTCTTTTTGTAGAAGTGGGTACATGGTGATAAGAGAAGTGTACATATGTGTGATTGTATGTCACAAACCTCCGTTAATTAGTGTACTGTCCATACATATAGTTTTCAAGGTGATTTACCTGGCACTATGAGGTGTGTACATGTACTACGGGAACACACAAGGATTGTTTCACAATATGTAGTGTGTTGAATATGGAATTCTATGATTGTGATACTAGAGTCTTTTTAGTTTGGTGGAGAGTAATAGCACATGTGGGGACATGCTTCAGTGTGGTGTCTGTAGTTTGTCACTAGTAGTATGTGTAAGTTTACCATAATTGTGTTGTGTGTTTCACACATAGGGGTTTTTCATGATTGTAGGAGTATTGGGTGTATACAGGGGTAATCTGTAGAGTTTTGAGGAGGTACATGTATGTAATGCTAGTAAACAGCACCTATTTTTGTAGGAGTGGGTACATGGGGACAAAGAAAGTGTACATATGTGTGATTGTATGTCACAAACCTCTGTTAATGGGTGTACTGTTCATATATGTAGTTTTCAAGGTGATTTACCTGGCACTGTGAGGCATGTACATGTACTACGGGAACAATATGTAGTGTGTTGAATACGGAGTTCTATGATTGTGATATTAGGGTCTTTTCAGTTTGGTGGAGAGCAATAGCACATGCGGGGACATGCTTCAGCGTGGGTAAGTGAGAGATGTTCCCTGGA